ACGGCGAATCCTCGAGAGCAGCTGCTCAGGCTTCTGCTCGAATCAATGCTGAAGGTTCCAGCGAGCCCAGCTTCCTTCAGTCTCTCCTGAAAGAAGTAGAAGAGGCATCGAATCCTAGCGGTAGCAATTCGCATGGCCCATCTGCGCCTGTCTCGGTTGCTCCCACGGACCACAGCAGTATCAGTCCATCCTCTCCCTCCATTTCGCCTGCTCCTTCCAATCAGTCTTCCCCTCGACTTTCATCTACGACGCCTCCCCCCTATCCTCGCAGCAGGCCCATCTCCCCAATACAGCTTGCGTCGCCCGCAGAACATTCGTCTCCTCCCTTCTCGCCAATTGTGTCGCCATCGGGTTCCAATAACGATCTCCGGGAAACAACACCATCGCACGTTGGGTCAAGCCGCCCACGTTCTCGAATTCCTAGGGCAGCACTGCGATTGACAGCACGGTCAACTGAGAGCTCGCCCACTCGCCCTGGCCTATCCCTAGAGGTCAAATCTGACATTCAGAAGCTAGTTGGAGGTGCACTCAAACCGTATTATCGTTCAAAGGTGGTCTCGAAGGACCAGTACACGGATATCAACCGTACTATTTCGCGAATGCTATACGAGCGAGTGGGAAATGCGCAATCCCTAGACACCGAGACCAAGAATAGCTTTGGAAAAGTCGCCGCCGAGGAGGTTAAAAAGGCAATCGATGGTCTCCGAGCAAAGGATGAAGACTCCCTTGCGGATAGTAGCTCTTAAGGACACAGAAGATTCTTTGCAACTACCGGCGTTTATGCAGCGATTTATTTGTTCTGCGAGTTAAAAGCATACAGCGAGGCGTTCATCTTCACAATCGGACTCGGCGCAGCGTCTTTGGATACCCGCTTAGGAATATGGGACATGTTGATGGTTCTACACTGGGGGCAGGATCTCCCACAATATCTTTTCAATGTATCTTCAGCGACAGCATAGAGCATATAATGTCCTAATTGCTGGCTCATCCGATAGCTGGTACATATATGACTGAACAGAATCCTTGACATATTAAGAAGCGTATTATTCTAAATAGACAAGAGGGTAAAAGACGCTCGACTCATTGTGTGGTTGCTTTCTGTTATTTGGAAGTATAGAGTATTAACTACATAGATTGTCTGCCAGGTGGAAGGAGAAGGTGATATGGTGAACTCCAGTGAGATCCATCCTAGGTAGAACCATTTGTCTTCTCTCACCGCTGAAAAATGTTGGGTATATGCGCATAATGGCCCAGGACTTGGGACGAGTTGCACGAGTCATACAGAAGATCTAGGCCTCGTTTAGAAAATAAAACTGTCTACTCAACTCTCCATGTTGTGCGAAAGTATGAGTCTCATAAACAAAGCCGTCTCCTGTAATTGAGTTGGAGGAAATGAAAGCCTTACTCCTCAGCCTCCTATCGAAGAAAAACACTGACCATAGCTCTAGCTAGGTACGGGATCAAACAAAGCATTAGTCAAACAAGAATATACACACTGACGTGAGGCTTTAGTACTGGACTTAAGTCTGTGGGGAGAATGGACAATTTAGCTGCCTACTAACTCCGTGGGTACGAGTCATATGGGATCTAGAAGCTGTCGGTCGAATTTTCTACGGCGTGGTCTTATCCATCTATCGATCGGAAGCACAAGCATCAACATTTACCGAGTCGGTCGTCGGCGGCCGTACTTAAGTCCAGATCAAGCGGCTGAAAGCCCGAGATAAGTGGGATTTCTGACGTAGTTGTCCAATCAGCAGTGCCTATTGCACAACGCATCTCGGTCGGTCGTTCGGTGGCGCCGAAGAGCGAAGAGCGGGTCGCCGCGATGCCAAGCTTTGCTCCATCTGGCATAAAGTATTGGTCCATGGAAGGCTGATTCATATTGACGATTTGAAGATTTCCAAGCCACAAAAATCTTTGCTTTCACACTGACACATGGACGGAGTCGGAGTTAAGGGCTCGCGTTTTCCCACCCTGCGATGACCTCATTTTTGCGATTATCAATCCGCAATACAGAGGTACTCGGGACGTGAAGACCAACCAATAATGGGCGACAATGGTGCCTTTTTTTATTTTTCAAAAACCAGTTAGTGGCAACAGGGTCACAGGGCCCCCGGGGCCTGTCCAGTATCGATTTAATATCTCCTTCAGGCTTGACCACATTCTCTTCGGGATATCGGCATCGGACGTAACCACAGGACTACTCCGTAGGGACCCAGTGCGAAAGGCGTGGTGGGGATCTCTTCCATCTCTTACATACTAGTTTGCTTAGTGGCTATGGCTCTCTTCTGTCGGGTTCCCATGATATCTCCAGAAGCCTATTTGCTTTATCAGCTTTTCCCTGAAGGCCCACTTTGGGAACAAGATGGTTCCTTTAAAGCTCTGGACACGCCCTCTGTGGGAATTCAGGGACCTAGATATCAGATGCAGCGTACTCTATCACCTAAGAGTCCATAGTCTACTGATTAGGCTGCTCTCCTAGATCTTGTTTGATCTTTCCCTTATCATTGGTGCTATCAGCCTGTCATCTGTTATCAAAAGTTTCACCTTCGGGGGTGAGGGATAGAGCCAGAAATACTGAATCCGGCAAAATTCAGAGATGGCCTCTGAAAAACAGAACGACCGAGTATACAACTCCAACGAGACAACTCCTCGCATCACCCAAGAGACCCTATCTGTCCCCCCTACATCAGATCTGAATACGAAGTCCAAAGATAGTTTCGATATGGAGGACCGAGCGCCGCGGCCCGAGAGCCCTGATGCAAGAGACATGGAGACAGAGGGCACAGATATCGAACGCGCAGAACTGCCCGAGAAGACACCAGCAGCAGATCCCAATTTGGTACAATGGGATGGCCCAGACGACCCCGAGCACCCGCAGAACATGCCACACTGGAAAAAATGGGTCTTGACGATGACTTTATCCTCGATGACCATGTGGATCACTTTCGCTAGCAGCGTCTTCTCAACGGCAACGGTGGTGACGGCTAAGGAGTACCACGTATCAACTGAAGTCATGACTTTGGCTACCAGTCTGGTCGTGTTCGGATTCGCTCTTGGTCCCATCGTGTGGGCTCCCATGTCTGAGCTCTATGGACGCAGGCTGCCGCTGTTCTTGGGCTACGCCATCTTCGTAATCTTCCAGATTCCGGTAGCAGTGGCACAAAATGTCCAGACCATCATGATCTGCCGCTTTCTCATCGGTGTTTTCGGTTGCTCTCCTCTAGCGGTTGTTGGCGGCGCAATGGCCGACTTCTGGGATCCCGTCGACCGTGCTGTGGCTATTGCCTTGTTCTCGGCTGCCACCTTCGTTGGTCCTACACTTGGCCCTATCATCGGTGGATTTATCACGGAGTCATATCTCGGCTGGCGCTGGACTGCATGGATCACGATGATTCCGTCTGCGGCCTTCGGCACGCTGGCCTTCTTCATTGTTCCTGAGACCTACGGTCCTGTCATCCTTCAGAGACGCGCGGCTCGCCTTCGCCGCGAGACAGGCAACTGGGCACTGCACAGCCAACTCGACGAAAGCCGCCCTACCGCTTCCGAGATCGTCAACAAATACCTGCTGCGCCCTATTCAAATGCTTTTCCTCGAGCCGATCCTGTTGCTCATCACGATCTACCTAGCACTGGTGTACGGAATTCTGTACCTTTTCTTCGAGGCGTACCCTATTTCGTTCCAAGAGGTTCGCGGCTGGACAAATGGAGGCATTGCTGGCCTTCCCTTTATCGGAATCCTGGTCGGAGTAATCTGTGGCGTGGCATTGATCGTCTGGCAGACCAAGACTCGGTTTGCACGGAAGTTGGCGAAGCACGGCCGCGTTGTCCCTGAGGAGCGTTTAATTCCAATGATGGTCGCATCCGTGCTTCTGCCGGCCGGTCTCTTCTGGTTCGGCTGGACCTCGAGCCCTCATATCTCGTGGGTGCCTCAGGTCCTTGCGGGGATCCCTATCGGCATGGGCATCTTAGTCATCTTCATGCAAGGTCTCAACTACATCATCGATGTGTACATGATGTTTGCCAACTCAGCCATCGCTGCCAATACTCTGATTCGAAGCAGTCTCGGTGGTGCCTTCCCGCTCTTTGCCGTGCAGATGTACAATAAGCTCGGCGTAGATTGGGCCTCCAGTCTGCTTGGTTTCATCACGGTTGCGATGATCCCGATTCCCATCGTCTTCTATATCTATGGCAAGAAGATCCGGGCTATGAGCAAGTACTCGCCCAAGCTCTGATTCTCGTCTGTCTCTTTCTTTATGTACCCCCGTTTGCTATTTCATGTCCGAAATAGACGTGGTTGTCTCCTCTCATCAGCTAGGCGTTGTTTATGAGCACTTGCATTTGCATTTGGTTGGATGGACGGTTATGGCGATTATGCATGATACATTTCAGGGATCACAAGCACTCAGATAGAGAGCGATTCCAAGTTAATATAATTAATGTTGACCACATACACATTGTTAGAAAAAAGTGTAGTCGTTGTCAAGGAGTGGATAGACATTTTATGCACAAAGTTGGATAGCCGAAGCAGCTAAAACAGGCGACAGTGAGACTTCCATCAGGATCAAAGTATAGGTTGTAAGGGAATCCGAAATTAGAGTCATCAATATTGAAAAATCATCATGCCTGATTTTGATACCGACATACTACTGTGACTTCGCCAAATTCGAAAGCTCCACAAAAGAAGAAAAGGCAAAGCAAAAACACGCTATTATTATTGAGCGACGCGTCCCGCGGCGTCTTCAGGGCGGTGACAGTCGAAACCGCCGGCGATCTTTCGAAACCGACAGACGGCCTCGAGATTCGACTGCTTGTCCCCCGTCCAAGCGTGTCCACAACCATATCTTTCGCTATCCATCTCCGTCGCTTATTTTACTTACTCGGAGTTCGGATTCTTGTTCATTGCATCTATTTCTCAGCCTTCGTTTCTTCCGTTCCAGCGCATGGTGTGCTGAAGCTTACTCCCTGAAACCTCCCCGGCTTCCCCGCGCTTCGCCCACGATGCCTGCGCGCACTCGTCAAGGTCCCTCCACCGTCACGGAGGTCGTGGAGCCCGAAGAGACGTCCGGAGGCCTTCGCAGTCTCAAATTCAATCAGCCGCTTTCCTGGCGCGTGGGGAGGGCCATCCCCATCGCCGATTTGCTTCAACGTCTACAGACACTCGCGCAGGAGCTTCGCAAACTCGAACAGGAGGAGATTGATAAGGAATCCCTGCGAAAGGTCTCGCAGGAGTTGGCGACGGCGAATCTGCTGGCTCATAAGGATAAAGGAGTTCGAGCTTGGACGGCTTGCTGCATTGTTGATGTCTTGCGTCTTTGCGCGCCTGACGCGCCGTTTACGGGGAATCAACTCAAGGTTCGTTTTGAATTGGGGTTCTGTATTGCTGTTTCTGCCTTGCAGGGCTCCATAGAGATGTTTTCTAGATGCTCTGGACTTTGATCTAACCATTGTGATCATTAGGACATTTTCACTTGCTTCGTGACCTCCATCATCCCCGCTCTTGGGGATCCATCCAATACCTATAATGCTCAACACATCTACGTTCTCAACTCCCTGGCGGAAGTGAAGAGTATCGTGCTCATGACCGACTTGGATCAGCCGGACTCATTGATTATCCCGCTCTTCACCACATGTTTCGACATCGTCTCCGGTTCCTCAAAGGCCTCAACGGGGGAGGAAATCGCCAAGAACGTGGAGTTTGACATGACCCGCCTGTTGGTGACTGTGATCGATGAGTCGCCAGTCCTCGCGCCCGACGTGGTAGATATCATCGTGGCACAATTTCTGCGTGTTGACCCCCGCGTGCTGGAACCCCTGAACAAGAGAAGCAAGAAGGCAGATACGCCGGTGGACTCGAAACAGGGCACACTCCTGCTCAAGGACTACCCGCCAGCGTATAACATGGCCAAGGCCATATGTCAAGCGTGTCCAGAGAGGATGACGAGTCATATCAGTCAATATTTTAACAATGTAATCATTGACGCTTCTGGCTCTGGGGGCACAAAAGGGTCCTCGAAACATCATCGCAAACCGAATCTTGACGAATCCGACGAGGAGGCTGAGGATGTCAAGGAGTTGAGTAAAGCCCACCGTCTTATCCGGGAGCTCTGGAGGGCCTGTCCCGATGTGCTGCAGAATGTGGTTCCCCAACTAGAGGCCGAATTGTCCGCTGAATCAGTATCATTACGTTTGCTGGCTACACAGACGATAGGTGATCTCACTGCTGGTATTGGAGTTGCCGGTCTACCTCCACCGCCGCCAATGGATCCTGCAGGTTACCCACCGGTAACCTTGGCAGAGTATGCGCAAATGATCCCTCAGCCCAACGTGCTCGTCAAGCCTTTGTCCCCGAAGCCATTCTCCCAGGCACACAGCTCCACATATGAAAGCTTTCTGAGCCGGCGCTTTGACAAGTCCGCTTCCGTTAGAGCTGCCTGGGTCACTGTCATAGGCCGCATTCTACTGACATCTGCAGGTGGCTCTGGTCTCAGTGAGAACGAGCAGCAGACTCTCATCGAGAATCTGTCATCAATGCTTCGGGACGCAGATGAGAAAGTCAGACTGGCGGCAGTTGATGCGATCGGAATGTTCGGTCTGTCAGATGTTGTGAACAAACTCGGATTGGGTGGCGGCTTCTCGACTCCAGATTCGTTGCTTGCCGTCCTTGCAGAACGAGTCAAAGATCGGAAGTCTCAGGTACGAGAGCATGCGACGAAGACTTTGGCACGGATCTGGGCCGTTGCAGCGGGCGACATCGAGGAAGGGAACGAACAGGTGGTCTCTCTACTCAAGGACGGGCCGTCAAAGATCTTCGATGCTTACTATACAAATGACCCGGAGATCCATATCTTAATTGATCGTGTGCTCTTCGAGATTCTCCTTCCCCTCAATTATCCTCCGATCAAGCCCAAGCTATCACGGAGCGGCTCCAGTCAATCTCAGAAACAGAAAGAATCACAAAGTGCTGAGGCCGATAGCGATGCCGACATCGACAAGATACGTGTTCGTCGCATTCTCACTCTACTCGCGGGTCTAGATGACAAGGCCAAAAAGGTCTTCTACGCGATGCAGGGTCGGCAAATCTCTGTCAGAAACTTTGTGGACTTCTACCTAAAGGCGTGCGAGGAGTACAATGTAAGTGCTGAAAGAATTCTCAGAGTCGGTCGAGACACTAACGGCGAATGTAGGGAGGAGTAGTGGAGGAGAATGAGGATCAAATCAAGACTAAACTATCTCGGGTTATCGATTCGCTCTCCAAAACCTTCCCAGACTCGTCGCGAGCATCCGCGGATCTGTGGAAGTTTGCTAAAGTTCACGACCGTCGTAACTACCAGCTTATTCGCTTCGCGATGAATGTTACCAGTGATTATCGCACTGTCGTCAAGGCCATCAGAGAGCTGGCGAGACGCATTCAGAGTGCCAACAATTCGTCACTGCTCGAGACATTCACTCCATTGCTGTACCGCAGCAGTTCACTGATCTTTAACCGAAGTCATACGCCGGCGATTATGGAACTCTCTCGGACAGACGAGCATGGTCTCGCCAACCCGGCACACGAGATTCTACGGGAGATTTCGGCTAAGAACCCAGAAGTGTTGGAAGCTCAAGTTCAAGAAATGTGCAAAGACCTCGAGTCGCAAGCTCCAAAGGCCACAACTACCACTGCCGGCGGGACCGAAGAGATTCTCAAGGCCTGCTCCGGGTTCGCACGAAAACTTGCCGATAAACTCCCCAAAGATCGCAAGTTCCTACAGGCTCTTAGAAGCTACGCTCTTCATAGCCCATCCCCTCGAGCCGCCAAACATGCCGTCTCAATCCTCATGGCGGTCGCTGATAAAAGAGAAATGTACGCGAAGGATTTGGTCCAAGCATGTGTTTCGAAGTGGAAATACGGATCCGATCGTTTCCTGACTAAATTGGCAACGTTGTCGCAGCTGAATCTCTTGGCTCCATCGGAAGCGGATGAAGAAAGTGACGCCATCATCTCGATCGCTGTCAACCAGATTCTTCTAACAAATCGTTCCCCTCAGCCAGACGCCGGGTACTCCTGGTCAGATACTGTGGACGATGAAACCGCTGCTAAGGAGTGGGCTCTTAAAATCATTGTCAATCGGCTTCGAGCCAAGAAAGGTTCGGACGGCGATGACGATTTCCGTGCCCACGCCGTACCTGTATTCGAGACATTGAATAAGCTCGTGGCGAATGAGGGCGAGTTGTCAAAGAAGAAGGACACACCAGCAACGCAGAAATCACGCCTTCGCCTCCTGGCCGCCAAGTCACTTGTCAAGCTGTGCGCAACAATTGGTCTATGCGACCAACTGCTTACACCGCTGGACTTCAATTCGATTGCCCTAGTGGCTCAGGATCCCATCGTAGCCGTGAGAAGCGGCTTCATTTCCCAGCTCAAGAAGAGACTTGTGCAAAGGTCGCATCTGAGCTACCGCTGGTATATCGTTCCCTGCCTCCTTGCGTTTGAACCGAATGCTAGCTTGAAGGACAGCACCCTTACCTGGCTACGGTCTCGTGCGGCATTCTTCTCACAGCAGGTTCAGAGCAATGGCCAGAAGGAGACTGTCATGGAGTCAATCTTTTCTCGTCTTCTCTCTCTCCTCGCATACCATCCAGATTACCCCTCTGCCGACCTGGATGAAGCGACACAGGTCCGCGACCTAACTGATTTTGCACGCTATATCCTCTTCTATCTCACGGCCGTTGCGAATGAGCACAACTTGTCGTTGATATTCCATGTCGCGCAGCGGGTGAAGCAGACGCGGGATGGCATCACCAAGTCAGACAAAATCAGCACCCGTCTTCACACGCTTTCGGACTTGGCACAAGCAACGATTCGTCGCTTTGCGGACATCTACTCCCTGCAGCGCAGATTTGGCGGAGGCGCTGGCGCTGCTAGCATCCTCCAGACTTACCCTGGCAAGGTCGGAGTGCCAAGCTCAATCTTTGCTCGGATGAAAAGCCACGAAGAAGCCCAGGAGGTCGCTGAAAAGAACTTCCTTCCTGAAGATGCTGAAGAGCTTCTCGATCGTCTTGTTCGGTCTGTCATGAAAGCAAAGAATGGATCGTCGAGTAACGCGCAAGTCAAGAAGAGAAAACCAGAGGCGGCCGACACGAACGGTAACAATGGCTCTGCCAAGAAAGCCAGAAAGGAAAAAGAGAAGACATCACGGCCCCGCAGATCCTCTGCTGGTACAACCTCGAAAACACCCAAGAAAAAGAAGAAGGGTGAGGACGGGTGGTCCTCTGATGAGGGGGATGCCGCTGCAGAAGTGACAACATCTGCTCGGAGACGCAGCAACCGCGGAACATCGAAAAGGGTCAGTTATGTGGACAAGGACAGCGACGAGGATGACATGGAAGTGGATGAATGGGGACAAGAGGATAATGAGCAAGAGGATAACGAAGATGAGGCAGAAAGTGAGAATGCCAGCGACGCCGAAGAGAAAGTCGACGATGAATCAGATAACGAAGAGCAGTTGAGTGAAGCCGAAGAACTAGAGGATCCAGAGGAACCCTCAGAGACAACCGTTGCAAAGACGGAAAAGGAAAAGCCCGAGGCGAAGAACAAACGCAGTGATAAGACCGCTACGTTGCCAACGAGAAGATCCTCTCGAAGGGGCTAAAAATTGTTCGACTTGTCGACGTCTGGGTGGAAGTCGGAGTGGATGGATTCGATATCCCCTTCTTCGCGTCGAGATGTATATGACTCCCGTGATTGCGAGTTGTCTCTTTTTTTTTATTTCTTTTCTCGTCGTTCCTTGATGGAATGACTGTGGCCAATGTGCACTTGATGCTTGACTAAGAATGAGCCGTCTCATTACCTTTCTTTGTTGCATTTCCTTTCACACTGGAGTGCATCGAAATGTGTATACCCATTTTCATTGCCAATTTATCTGCCTGAGCAGTTGCTACAATATTGATGTGATGTATTTGAGGCGGAATATAAGATGTGATTATTCATTCAACGATACAGACACCGTTCTATAGGCTGGTCGTAAATTCTCAAGTCAAAATTAGACCCAACACAGCCTTCCATCTGTTTACATATCATATAAAGGATTCTCGTCATTCAGCAAGAAGAATGAGCAATTGTGGCCATAAAAAAAAGGGCGGGAGGTGGGGTGGAGAATGGTGCACGCAAAACAAGTATGGTGGTGGTCACCATGCGCTGGGTTATTTAGTCTTCCTTCAGGGCACTTCTGGCCTCTGGAGTCTTCCACCCTCGGGACTGCCAAAGGCTTCCATGGAACCCTGAGTTTCTATGGAACAAAGAGAAGATGAACATTTCCCCAGGAGAACCTCCATGTGACGAATATGCATTTCTGAGTTTGAGACAGCAACGCAGACGCCGATGATCAGATATCTCTTCAGCTTCATTCGATCCCTTAATTTACTGGCTTAGTGAGGCTGGACGTGGAGTGGATGCTGGGTGTGTGCAGCCTACAACTGCGATGGCTTTTGAGTCTGAGAACGCCGTCTTCAACGCGAGTCTCTGCAGTTTTCATGCAGGTCAGACGGTGCTTTTTCTTTGTTTGCATTTGGAATCTTCCGCTGTTGGTGCCGTCTCTTAGCCTCAGAAATCGCTGTTATCATCTTTTTGAGGCCGAGTAGCATTTTCCTCATCCTGTGAGTTATCATCCTAGCTAATCGACAGACGTGGTTCCAGTACGTATCCCAGCATTCGTTGCCCTCATTCCGCATTTGCAGGGCACCCTAGTCAAATGAACCATATCACCTGGCTAGCCTTGCACAGCCAAGGAGAGAAACAGGTCTATGACCAGAATTAAGGGTCGGAACGAAGCCGCGCCTAGCAAGGACTACAGGCTAGCATTCTCTGTGGGTGCCGTGCCAGATGTCTCATCCGCGTTTTGATGCACACCCCGAAGACCGGTCGAACACCAGATATCATTCTCGTGACGGAACTTCGCCACCAGCGAATGGAGATCCATCATCTGCAAAGCAACAATTGGATAGAATTCTTCTAGCATTGTCTCCAAGGCTACATTGAGATACCCATTGAAACCGGTCCCAGCCACATCCGCATCATCTGCACCCGGCATAGGTGGAAGACACGGGGTACTCTCTACCCGGGCCACGGCAACAACAAAAGGAATCTTCTGGCGTCCAATGCGCGGCGCAGAGGAAGGAAGTGGTGAGGCCAGAACTGATTCTAGGGAAGCAGGCGTCACCATGAGACAAGCCGACGTGGCAAGTCCTTGTGGTAGGGTAGCAGCCATTTCACCAAAGCGTCTTTGCTCAACGCGTTAGACCGATAGAAATATTTGACAATCAGAAGGAACGAGAACTCATACCTAGCGACCTCGGCCGCATCGACGCCTTCAAACTTGGGGTCCTCCACCCAACGAAACTCAAGCAAATCAATCGCCCGATCTACCTTGGCTATCAACCCCCGATGCGGAGCGACTTGCTCCTCAAAAATAGCATCCCACCGCTCTCGAAATTCTGCCCAGCGCGACTCATGCTCACCTCCGTATGGCGTTGTGCGAAACACCACGAACCCCCATTTCCCCCAGTCCTCAGGCGCTGGGTTTCGGTAGACTGAGCTCAGGGTCTTACAAAAGGGCGCAATGAGTTCATGCTCTTGTTGTTTTGTCTCCTCTGATTTGGCGGCTTCAACGCGGGCATGGTAGCGGCGGCTCATTTCCTGCAAGATTGCGCGGAAGCCGTCTTCGCCATAGGTGGCTTTAAGACCGTCAAAGAGAGTGGTGCGTTGGGAGTCAGAGAGTGCTTGGAGCTCGTCACCGCTGGCGTTGAGGAGGCGGTCATAGGTCCAGCCGGGGGGGTAGAAGGACATAATTACAGCAGATATTGGTGTTAATTGTTGAAGTGGAAAGACTAGGCACGTTGAGGTTATAGCTCAGCTCAAGCCACGTGACTGAAATGGCCGTCTGGCTCCTCTATGATGCCCAGAGCTCATATCACGTAGTTAATAGATGTTGAATCCAAAACTAAGAATGAGCGGTCTCAGTACCTTTCTTTGTTGCCTTTCACACTGGAGTGCATCGAACTGTGTATACCTCTTTTCATTGCCAATTTATCTGCCTTTTTCCTTGAGCATCTTCTGCCATTTTCCTTAATGCAGTTGCTAAAATATTGATATGATGTATTTAAGGCAGAATATAATGTGATTATTCATTTGTCAACAACAGACACCGTCCTATAGGATGGTCATAAATTCTCAGTCAAAATTAGACCCAGAACAGCCTTCCATCTATCTACATATCACATAAAGGATCCCGACATTCAGAGAGAAGAATGAGCAATTGATGTAAGCAAAACCGTGACTAGAATGAAAGAATGCAGATATGAATGCGACGAGACTGAAGACGTGGTGAACAGGGTAAAGAGGGCGGCGAGAGTGCTAAACCAACCATATCAAAAAGATGAGAAAGCAAAAAGCATACAAACAGCCGGGATTCGCCGGTGGTGCCAGGTAGTAAGGACGCGTATGACCACCTAGACCTAGACGGCCATCTAGCATAGTAGGAATAGTGATGCAATATAATGTTCGGTAGGATGGCAATGATAGGATGGGTGTATTCAGAAACATACAAAAAACAATGACCAGTGCCGGGTTTGAACCGGCGACCTTTTCGGTGTAAACGAAACGCGATAACCACTACGCTAACTGGTCAATTGTTGAATTAGCGGCCTCTTTTCATTTCTATAAACCAAATCAACAAACAAGTCGATGATGCACTATACAATGGCTAGGACAAAACCGTGGGGAACCTATTGCTTGCTATCACTGACTAGAGTTACCTGCATTAAAAATTTTGTCAGCGCTCAGCCTAATAACCTAGAGGTATTGTTCTTTTAAGAAAAAAGCAAGAGAATAAAAAGAAGTAAAAAAAAAAAGCTGAATGCCGGGGTTAAACCTTGAGATCACGCGTCTTACGCTCTACTGATTGAGGTAGCCCGGCGGTGCTTGTTGGAGGTCGGAGGCAGGATTGGGCAGGGTACTCCGTACTGAGGTCGTTCAGGTGAAGAGGTGAAGAGGGTGAACAGAGCGGCGAGGGCTTAAACCCAATGAATTAAACTCTAGGTGAACAAAAAACATACAACAGCCGGGATTCGCTGGTGGTCACCCACCCAACTACTAACCGGCCGGCGTGTGGCTTAAGTACGGCTGAGCGGACGGGAAGCCCTGTTTTCCACACCCTATGGTCGTATGTGCTTGAATTAATTTATGACTGGTTTATATCGAGCGTAATCAAGGAAAATGACCGCTGATCAACATCGTGGACGAATAGTATTTGGTCTTTCCGTCTTCGAGAGAATTGAAAGAGAATCCTCTGTGGCACGGTTGATCCTTCTGCAAGGCTGTAGATATGGCTGGCTTATAATATTTCTGTCCTATCCACTCAGAAAAAATAGAACCAGAAACATCGTGCGAAATAAAACACTAGGATCGACCAAAAAATTTCGATCACTGCATCTACACGGGATTGAACCATGGACCTTTCCATTACGAGTGGAACGCTCTACCACTGAGCCATAGATGCGAGGACGGGAATAAGGTTTCGCCTAAGTGACTTATACACCAGAACCAATTCTCTTCATCGACCAGAAGAGTTGCAGAGACAGCTCCATTATCTCTGTGATGCCGACTCTCGCTTTGTACTTGAACATCTGCTGGCTGTCTATACTGGTATAGTATTAGGTGGTAGGCTTCCTGGAGATAGTGACGTCGCTTCACTCTCTACTGTGCTCCGCAGATGTGTACAAAATATTTATAGGATCAATGGCTATATCCAAACTCCTACTCTATGCTGCTACGTACTTGGGTTACTAAACATACGCAAGGATAGGTTCGTGGGTACGAGAGCGCAGAGTTCCTAGATGTAATTCTTCAGGAGTGGTCCCGATGATAAATATACGTGCGCTGGGACGTCATGTGTGTTGTTGGTAAGACCATCCATCAAATATATATAGCCAACCCGTTTTCGACACAGCATAAGAAGAAAGGAGATTCACGTTTTCATAGTGCCCGTGCCTACGATCCAGGAGCCGAGGGTTAACTTTGACATCTACGCAGTATTGGTAATGGACATGGAGGTTGCATTAATGGACCTGGGCCATTGTTGCACATTACGCCCATGCTGTGGTACGCATGCTTGATTCTCAGGTTATCATGAGGACAGAGTGCTATAGATGTGAAATTCCCCTAGATCTCGGGATTCATGATTCTCCCAAAACCCACACAAGAGAGATAGTCAACAGATACACCAAGCATACCGTCCGTTACATTTAAAGTCACGCAATCAAAGAGTATAGAGATGTTGATTACCCTTTATCATTCGCTCAAAGACATGTACACCAAACAACAAAGGGTCCTGGAGACTCCATAGGAAAATAACAAAGTATACATTGATGCGAAAGGTAAAACACCACTTGATCATGTACTCATCATGAGGAGGCACCGTTAGCAGCTGCCTTTGCGAGCCTTTCCTCTACGCGCTCCTTATGCTGCCGATTCCTCAAATGAACCTCAAAGTTGTCGACCGTCATTCCGGGACCGGGAGTATACAACTTACCCGGACAATCGTGACAGCGAATCCGAGGAAGATATTGATACTTCAATCGGTGGCCCGGTTGGCTATTTGCGTTTGCGACTGGTAACATCGTCTCCGTATCAACTGCCGTGTAGCGCATCACACCTTCAAACGAGTCGTTTGGATGTGACTTGTTCAAACGGGCAAGACCTGCCGATAGCCAGGCTGGAGGAGGAGGCTACCGAGGGCGATGTTAGCAAAAGCGACCAAACTGAAATCTGGACAGCTGAAACAGAGCCATAAATGGAATGGAGTACAACAAAGGAAGGAAGCACCTACCCCGGGAACGCCTGGTTGAGGGGGATGTGTAGCATCAACAGCCCCAAGCTGTTGTACAGGCCGCTGAGGAAGATGACCAGCAGTATTCGGTACTTGAACTTGTGGTTTAGGCTGCGATGGTGGGGCCATGCTACTCGGCGTCGGTGTCCGTAATTGAGGTGTGCCGGTCTGAGATACAGGTTGGGTGGCTGGCGTAGAGGTAGAAACCGAAGGGTTAGGTAATGATTGTGGCCTGTTGGCGAGGAATTGGCGAAACTTCTCTCGAGAGATCTTTAACTTTACAATTAGCTTCTCTTGCTCCTCCGTGCTCTCTTCCCGGTACTCTCGTCTTCTGGCGGAGACCCGAGCCTCATGGTGAGGTTCAGGGGTGGCAGAATGAGCCAGACTCGCCCGCAAAGCGGCGTGAGCTGCGCTTGCGGCCCCTCTCATGCCTCTTGTGCGAGCTGTTCCTTGGGCCAGATGAGGACCGATAGCCGGAGAGCCTGTCATCGATGATTCGTCGCTGTCCGACTCATCGGACTCCTCACCACCGTCACGCTGGCCAACTGCGGCGCGTCTGTGCCGACTTGATCCAGATCGTTTGAACACATTGCTCTCTTCAATTGACGCTGCAGTGTTTGGTATGACGGAGGATACAAGCATAGTACGAATGGTGCGTTGACGATCCTTCAAATCTGGCAAGGCTGGGCCACCACGGCGGTTGACGGAACGTTTCTGCCGACGTTGGTCTCTGGATATGGACACCTCTGTGCGCTCGAGCTCCGCTTCATTCAGCTCGTACAGATATGGTGTGAACTCCTTGGCAGCTTGGAAGGGTCGGAAAGAAGATGATAATGGGGAGGGTAAAAATGCGGCCTTGAGATCAGGATCATCAATCGGACGACCATCAAAAGGATGGGAGAGGATGTAAAGTGATTTGGTAAAGAGTTGCGACTGCTCACGTATCGAATGGGCTATTGCAGTCGTGAACTCGCCCGAGAGAGAAAGGTCATTGGTCATACGGGCAGCAAATTCCTCTGGGGAGTTAAAGGGATCATTGATGTCCCATTCAAACTGATCAATGAGAGTGTGTTGTCCGATGGTAATGTTGAGCTTGATAAGAATGCGCATTTCATCGTTCTTGTAAGCGCTGTAGGGTAGACTAGGATCGATCGCCTCCTCTTCCATATATATTTGAGGATAATAGTCCGCGAGTTGCTCTTGAATGCTCCGCGAGATCATCCGTACGAGAGGAGTGCATGTCTCGAGCGGAAGGCCTAGATCTTCCACAAACTTCTCGGCGAACAGATCGGGAGAAACGACCCGGTCGTGGAGGTTCCACGTAAAGGTATCTCGAATCTTAATCTTCTCCCAGTCGATGTCTAAGCGAATAGGAACCAAATCCTCCACCTGCTCACTCTGGATTTTCATGTCCTTCCGCGCAACTCGTAACTCCCTGGTCTTTCTATTTCCGGGTCGCCGCCGATGAGAGGGATATAACAGTTGCGGATGCTGATTGCGCAGATCAGTCCTGGCATTCCCAAATCCTTCATACCCAACGCCGTATAGGGCGGCCGGATTCCCATGGGTATCGCGGCGCAAGGCCAGATAGTAGTCTCGCTCCGCGCGCTTCTGTTGAAGCAACTCCTGGCTGGGATTGTGCCATGCTGCCAACGCTGAATGGCGGAATTCTCGTTCGACATACTGTTCGAGAAGTATCTTATCCGCCGGGGTTTCACGTACTCGGACAGGTAGGTCTTCTGCAGACGAGGAGGTCCGAATAACGGAACCGTCGCGAGATCGCTTCCTACGTGTTGCTGAACCGTTGGCGTTGCTCAGCTGAGAATTGGGCGACGTCTTGCCGTTCAAGGAGCTATGACTAGCTCCGGCTGAGGGTAGAGAGACGCCCGAAGCTGCAAGGACAGCTTTCGCATTCTGTTTCCCTTCGGCTATGGCATCCACCCCATTCGCTCCATGTTCT